GCCCTTCTAACCTCGTCTAACTGCTATTCCTGCCATAAAAAGTTGTAAATCACTTAGGGAATGTGCAGCTCACGTTATGCTATTGAATTACATTACTCACAAGCTGCTTGCGTGTGTGCCTCATAAACCATTTTAATTATATTATTATTATTAGTTATTTTACCTGATCTAGTCTTATATAACTTAAAAAGATCCATACTTTTATAATAATAAATAAAGAATGAATATGAAAAACAAGAAATAAAGTACTTACACAATCTTCTTTTTTCTTGTCATCGATTGCGAAGACAGTTAAGCCTCACTTTTTTGAGTGATTATAGTAAAGTAGTAAACAATTTTTATTTAATTAAATAATACACCGAAGAATATAGACTAATAACATGCAAAAAGTGGACAAGTTCACTTACCTCTAAAAATGTTTCTGGCTTTCTAACTATGTGACAAGAGCCATTACAAATTCTTCCAAGCTAGTCATTAACTTTCCCACGGGAATGAAACTTATACTGTGAGTGAAATTAACAATATTCTGTTCAGAATACAACGTTATACAATATGCCATTTGATAGATGACAACCTTGACTTTCTACTGGTTATATGTAATATATAATGAAACATAAGATAGAACTAGCAACCAATTGTGAAAGAGAGGATGTGACAGGTGGGTGTGGCAGGAGGGGTCTGGTTTTCTCTTTGATAGCTCTGTAACAAAACAAAATTGAAGGTCATAAAAATTATGGTCTGTTTCAGCAAAAACGATTTTATAGAGAGCATTTTACGTTTAATTTCGTACATTTTCGAGGGCTGATGACATGCTATGACAAAATTTATCATGTGTGTTGCACTAGTGGAAATTCAGGATTTTTTTATAATCCATATTTTAATACTTTAATTCTATATTCCCTTGTAAAAATCTGTCAAAATTAAAATATTGCCCAGTTGATGTTGGTTTTTTCCTTACCACAGTGAACTTATATTAACAAAGAGTTTAAATAATATGTAGTACTGATGTTACTAATATATTCTTCTAAATCATTCAACAAACAAATTAAAAATAAATATGAAGTCCAATTTTTCATTTGATTCACCACTTGTCACTAAGTTATACAAGTTTGTGGGAATTGAGTTTCATACTTATTTTTAGTATCTTAAACAGTTTGTCTGAATAATTTAGAAAAATAAACTAGTAGCATCAATGCTATGTATTCTTCAAATCCTATGTAATTACAAGGTTCACTGTGGTAAGGAAGCACTATTCAATCATAATTTGTTCAAGACCAATGATCAAGATCATGTAAATAAAACAAATTTTAGATAAGTTCAATAAGATTTTACAGATGTAGAAGATAAAATATAATGCACCACTATTTTAATCTATCTTACTAACAAGGGAATGTATAGTGTATCATTATTTCAGTTTTAACTATTGTGGAACTTACAAAAAACCATTATTTCAAATATTACAAAACTTAAGCAAATACTACAAGTTTACTACAAATTATCCAAAAATGAGAAGCCAAGTTAAGACAGAGCAAAGCATCTAAGTTATATGCAAGAGTGATTCAAATATGAAATAAAATTATCACAAGAAATTTTGTGAAACCTAGGTTGATTAAATATAATTCATGTCACCTCAAGTTTTTCTATCTCTTCCCTAGGAATTCTCTTTTCAAAGTCTTCAAAGTATCTAGAAAGAAAGGTATTTTAATACTAAAAAAACAAAAAGTGAAATTTGTAGACTTAATTTTAATAGTAATTTTAAGTCAGTTGTTTTTTAAATAGCTTTACAAAAAAAAAACAACTGTATGAAGTACTGTGATTTGAAAATACCTAAAGTAATAATTAACAAATTATGTGAAAACTTGTAACTGACATCAAAATGCTCATAAAAAGGAACAAAATAATTCTCATAAAATAAAAAGTAGGCATATTGGCTCAATCAATTTCACCAACATGTAACTGTGAAACTGTACATACTATACCTTTGAATGTACTAAATGTATACATTCATGAAATTTAGAAAGCTTTTAGTAAATGTTACAAATCTGTTGTACACAAAAAATCAGAGGTTTTTAATCAAGTATTTTACTAAAGATTCTTCTGTGAATTTACAAAGCCATTAGTTAGGCAGTCTGAGTGAAAGGTGATTTTCATGATTAAATTCAAAACACTTCTTTTCATTTTATAATTGTCATACTCTCTAGAACTTTATAAATAAATGACAATTTCTATTTTGGCAAAACTTTGTACTTTATCTCCAATTTTCTCTACCCTAACACTTGCTGTAGTGAAGTCATAAGATTATGGCAAATGATACACATACCTCAAGCTACTTCCCTATTAGCTGATCTTGTGAATTTTTTTTTTTCATTTAAGTTTTATCTAACCTAATAAGTTTTTAAATTCTACATATCTCCCTCTATGCTAACTATCACTTAGAGTTCAAGCAGAAAACTAAGCACCAGTGGACAGTGTGGAGGAAGGGTGGGAAGTGTGAGAAGAAGTAAGTACCTGTCAGAAAAATATTTTCAGTGTAGGAAAATTATAACTTCTGACACGGTATCTTACTTCCACTTACATACTTAGCTAGAATCTCCAGTTGAATAGGAGGAGGAACCGGTGCAAGGGAGAAAAGAGACGCATCCTTCAAAAGCATCTGAAGGCCACCTACAAAAGGGAACCCTCAAAGAAGAGGATGATACGTGGAAATCCGCACCACTTCTATACCATGTATACTCTTCACCCACACAAGGAAAAGGTGAGACTGAATCGGGCAGACAAATGTGACGAGCACACCTTTTGTAGGTAAAAGAAGGGATGTGCCCCAAGGTGTAGAGTAGCTAGGGCACGACAGACCATAGCAGCAAACCAACTGCATCCAAAACTAACCCACTGAGAACCAATATCCACACAGGGGTAAGATGAGGATCATACCCTGAACACATGTGTGAGGACTTATGTTGATTGGTTCAGTTCTAAATCTAAAACTCAACTGCTGGGAATAGACCCATGCGGAGTTAGGATAAGGGATCCCAATCAAAGGGGTGAACTGCATTTATGCCAGGACACTACATGTGTGAGTACATCGTGTCGATTGGTTCAGCTCTAAATCCAAAACTCAACTGCTGGGAACTGACATCCATGCGGGGGTAGGATGAGGGATTCCAATCATCACAACATGAGTGTGGACAATAAGATGGTTGGTTCAGCTCTAAATCCAAAACTCAATTACCAGGAACACCCCATCTCTAGTATATGGAAAAATAGAGAACAGTGTGCATGTAGTGGCCATGGAAATATGAAGATGAAATCAACATGGCTTTACAGTGAATGAAGTATACCTGGACAGGCACTACTTGCCACAGAGTGGGATCCAGATCAAAACATGGGACAGGCTCCTGAAAAAGATAAAGAATGAAAAAAGAAAACTTACCCAGTTATAGTTGCACCAAAGTCTGAAGAATGGCAATGGGTGAAAGATGACAACCTGACGAAAAAGAAACAGCAACATGGTGCAGATAGTGATAGATGAAAGTATGCAAAATGGTCCACATGCCCACTTGAATAATTTCCTCCAGTGGACAATGCAGATGAGACACCAGGGAAAAGGTGAGGTACCTAATCTGATGGGAAAACATCCAGAATAACTGATGAGGGAAAGGAGATAAGGAAGAACAAGTCAACCAAATTAAAAGCCAAACGCAACTGGTAATGGTGGAAGGAGAGAGATCACGAACAGAGTATAGTTGCCAAGGGATGAATAAATGGGAACAGTTATGATGGAAGGAAGCCATGCAGGTGATATAACATTGAAGAGCACAAAGGGAACATAGAGAAGGTTGGGCCCTGACTGAAATGAGTGTTGAACGAGCCCCCAATGGAACATAACCCACAGGGTAGTCACTGATACTGTTGGCAGCCTGACACTCTGCACCTTAGAAAATTATGAGAAGAAGATCTCTGTGTGGAAGAAACAGGTAAGAGACAAATGATCAACCAACAAGGAAAGAGTCAACTGCTGACTCACATATTCAACCCGGAATTCCAAGTGGCTGGAAGATACCAACTGATGGAGAAAAGGGCCGAGGCATGTGGCCGGAAGATAAGGAGGTGGTAAATGAATGTGGGACAAAACTGCATCTCTCCCCAAAATATCCCAACAATAGAGGAATCAGGTGTATAAAGAAAAAGCCAAACTCGACAAATGTGCCAACAAGGATGTATCCCCCAAAAAACTTTCAGGATCACAGGAGATTGCTTCGGAGAGAAGGTGAATGGTGGACAAGTACTATAGGATAGATGTGAGGGTAAGATGAAGGGGAGAAATTGGACATGGGGCAAAAGAACAGGACAATCAGGGTCCACCCACCAAATGGATAAAATGGATTCCATCTGTTGCCAATCCAAGAATGGAAAATCAGCTTGATAGTAGGCAAAAGCAAACTGGTCCAAAGCCTGCAAAGGATGTGACATGCCTGTGCCTACATGAAACTGAGATACAAAATGCTCAGCATGAACCCCAATATTAGGAGAGGATAAAAATAAAAAATATTGAGAGGAAGGAGTATCATATAACAAGGAAGAGAGAGGATTATAGGAAATTGGGGAAAAGAGATAAAACAGAACATATTTGTGAAATCATGTCCAAGAAAGCCATATTACGCCTGACAGAATTCACAGTAGGAACTGGGAAAGATGCAGCAAATTCAGGCAGAAGAAAAAAGTTGTCTCAAATAACAATCAATCTTTTGACGACTAATTGGCAATAATTTCAAAGAAGAATGACCCCCCCTCCCCCCAGATGGCCCCAGGAATAAGAAACTGATCATCTCTATGACATCATAAGCAAATGACCCTTAAGCACAAGTACAAGTATAGCTTGGTGAAGACCATCAAATATAAACAGCAATGTCTTCAACAAAAAGATACTGGCAGTTGACCATATTTTCATGGGATCATATAGTTTCAAAATGCGAGGGGTTGTCAAAGTCAAAGAGAAATTTTCAGGTCATTTATGCTATCACTGTGTACAGTGAATAGGGTGGTAATGCAGTTCCAGTCCCAACATAAAATAACACTTTATTCATAGTACAGGTGCCCAAAACAAAATAAATGATAATTTGTGTTGTGAGAAGAAGTGTGGAGAATGACCCATATCAACTGGCTGATACTGATGCAGGATTGTCAGGTGTGCTCAATACCATCAAAAGATATCTTCATAACATGGGGTACAATGGTAGTGCAGTTAGATAGAAGCTACTCCTCACTCCAGCCAATACATAACTTTGAGAGCAGTCAGCATTACAGGCGCTATCATACCCTCCTACCTTTTGAGATGCTGTAATTGTTTTCTAATGAGTCTTGGTTTTCTTTATTCTTAGACAGTAGAAAGATGTAAATGTTGCATCTTTTGGCAACTATCTTCCCAGTAACTTTTGTTGAAATGTCTGTGAGTCATGACAAAATAAGGTAGTATTTTTTGTTATAGTGTGAGATGCTACTTGAGCAGCTATACATTCACAGCTGGTGGTACACCCTGTATGAAAAGGTACAGTCATCATTGTTTTATACATCTATGGCTTCCAATTTTTGGTTTTAACCAATAAACACTGATAAAACATCCCTGATACAAAAATAAAATAAAATCTGTGCTTTCCCAATAAATGCCAAAAAAAACACTGGAAATGGTTATTCTGCTTACTTTAGATTAATGTCAAACTTTTTTGAGTCACTTTACTAATGAGATTTAGCCCTTTTCATATGGACTCGTGTAAAATTATTATTATTTTTTCTTTATCTAAGCTAATATGTTTCTAATTTTTATGTTTTAGTTACTTTTGTAACAATAAATAAAAAATAAACTTTAAAAACAAGAAATATGAACCTGTTCTTACTCCCATAAAAAAATTAGTGTGAAGAGAATACACAGTATACTAGTATAATCATTACAGTATTAATATCAAAAACTACAAAAACCAAATTTCAAGATATATAAATAAAACTATAGAACAGCTAAAAATAAACACAGATTTAAAAATAAAAACACTTAATAAAACTATAAAACAGCTAAAAATAAACATAGATTAAAAAAGATGCCCTAGATTGATCATAATTTTCAAGTAAGGCCTATCTACTTATGCCTCACTAGCCAAGGCAGTGTTTTCATACAAGATGGAGCTCCTGCTTATTCAGCCCAGGTCATCAATAATTAATGGCTTGAAGGTCAAGGCATTACAACTGACCCGGTCAATCAATGGATCTGAATTGTATTGAGCATACGTGGCCCATCTTTGAACGTTCCCTGCAAGATCATCCTAAACAAGAAAATGGCCAAAATACAAACAAAGATACTTATTTTGAAGGAACATGTAATGGATAGTTGAGAGCCCACAAAACCCTCTACCCCCCACCCTTCCAATTTTTGTGGTCTTTCTAAGGCTTCTTTAAAAAAAAAAAGATTAATTGTTTATATCCAGTATGGGTGTCAAAAGCCTTCATGCAAAATGTCAAGTAGTTTGGTTAAATATTGTACGATGAATTCAAAAACCATTTACACATAAATACAAACATACAAAGAAAGAGTTAAGTGTATTACTATACAGAAACAGCTACAACTGCTTGGATTAACTATTTAAATCTATTTAACTTTACATATCATACTTTAGTCCAATCTTCTGATGATGATTTAGTTTCTCCTGGTGCTTCTTCAGATCTAACATAACAAGAACAACATCATTACTAGCATCAGATACTCAAGAAAGTAACACATCTATAATTAAAAACACTTTCCTGGCTTCAACTGATAATAAAACAGGCACCCTTAAAAAGAACAAGTATCTTATACATTTCCTGAAGCTAACAAAATATATATATTATATTTTAACTTTGTAGACAACATAAACAAGTAAATGAATGTTTTGTATTTTAGGTTTATTAAGCAACACTAACGTAAGAAGATTGCAAAATACAAAACAGGCTATATTTTCAATTATTAAATCTTTTGTTGTGCTTCAAGAAGGTTTAACTCAATTCATTAAAAACAGCCAATACATTTTTCTCCTTGACTCAATAAAATTTAACTTGATTAGTAAATGTGTCAAAATCCATTCCCTGTAAGCTTTCTTTCAGCCATTGAACTTTTTTATTTTGATTATCTGAGGTTTGACATACATGTCAAAATCCTGTCACTATAATTTGTTTCTTTAGGTCAATAAATTATATTATTTCGATTAATCTTGGTTAAACTCACTTGATGTATGCATAAAAATCCAATTCTTAGAATATATTTATTTAAATATCATTAAACTTACTGTTGAGTACCTTATGCTCAAAAGCCTTTGGCCATGTAACATGCAAATCCCCTTACAGAATTAACTATAGAAATAAAATAAGCTATATAACTAACCTTCTATGGTATTAATGCCTTCATCTACAAGTTTCTTAGCTGCTGCAGGACTAATAAAAAGTAAAAAGATAATATATGAAAATACAGAAAATAGGGAAAACATTTTCACAAGGTATTTGTTTAAGCATTATGTACTCAAAACACTCAAGTGGTACTTTACTGCATGAGAGGTACAGTAAAACTTTTGTTGTTACGATTTTGTTTCTCTGTTGTTTCTTCGGCAACTCATGAATGTGCAACCCATGTTACAACAAAATCAGGAAATAATAATTAACTGGGGTCATAAAACCACTAATCATTACCTAGCATATAAAGGCTAGTACAAATAATCTTTACTTCATTAAGATACTTTGCACATAAAACCACAAATCATTATCTAGCATATAAAGGCTAGTACAAATAATCTTTACTTCATCATGATACTTAGCACATAAAACCACAAATCATTATCTAGCATATAAAGGCTAGTACAAATAATCTTTACTTCATTAAGATACTTAGCACATAAAACCACAAATCATTACCTATCATATAAAGGCTAGTACAAATAATCTTTACTTCATTAAGATACTTTGCACATAAAGCCAAATAAAAAAAAAAAGGATAACAGTGAATATCAAATCTAACTGGCTTGTTAAAGACATAAAAAAAACACATCAAGGATAAATGCCATAAGTTTAAAAAAATTAAACAGGGTAGTAGGATGTAAGAGTTACATAAATATAAGAAGGCTACAGGTTTAGTTAAAAAATAAATTAAGAAATTCAAAAGGGCTTATAAGAAACAGTTGGCTGATAATGTCAAAACTAACAGCTAAATTTTTTTAAAGTATGTTAAAGATAAGGAAGATGTTCAAATGGAGATTGGACCCTTAAAAGATGCAGGTGAAAAAGTTTATATTATTGAAGACTATGAGAGGACTTAGTTTTTAATATTTTCTTCTCTCATGTTTTTACAAGCAAATATATACTAGTAATATTCTGACCCTGAACATTCTATGGGAAATATTGGAATTGACCTGAATTATACAAATATTAACACCTTGTTGGTAAGTAGAAGGATTAAGATATTAAAAGAAGAGGAAGCACCATGACCTTACATGGTTTTTCTAGAAGGTTTTGAAGGAGGTCAAACTCAGATACAAGAACCTCTCTCTTTCACGTTTGGTAAATTAACAGAGAGTCAGTAAGTGCCCGAGGACAGAGAATTGCTTACATTACTTTTATTTCTGAAATTATAGGCTAGTTAGTCTTATTTCAATAGAAAGAAAAATTCTACAAAATAATTTAGTGAAATGAGCTACTGTACACAAAAGCTAGCATGGAATCATCAAAGGATAATGTTGCCTTAATAATCTGTCATATGTTTTGAAGATGTTATTTGTTATCTGGATAAGGGAAATGTTATAGGCACAAAGCTATACAATGAGCTATCTGCACTCACGGGTATCAAAACTTGGATTCTAGCGTTGTAAGTCCACAGACATACCGCTGTGCCATTGGGGTCATAAGAGAGAGGGAATCAATGATTTTCTCAAAAGTAAAAGGAGGTGGTTTGCAAGGATAGCCTTGAGGGATTAAATGGTCCCTTGTTGTCTGTTGGTTATTTGTAATATGTTACTGATGTTTGCTTATCATTATAAAAACAAAATACAAAAACCAGAACAATTCACATATCTTGACCTCCTGTGACAGTTAATTACTATCTGAAAGTTTAGTTTAAAATTAATATTTTGTTCAAAATAATTTGATTTGAGTTTCATTTGCTAATAAGAATGTTTCAGTGTAAAGTAAAAATACTATAATATTGCACTTATAAGCTTAAAAAAAAGTAAACCAGAACCACAATAAAGTTTGCAGCATGAAAAGTGCCTAAACAATACCAGTTGTACCACATTTTATTGTTCACCCCAGTGGAATTAAGTTTTAATTAAGTTTTAGTAGATTATTAAAAAATAAAAATATTGCACTCCTACATATATATATAAAGGTCATTAACCTAATGACCTGTATGATAGTTTCTGTAATAATCTAATGGTCAATTTTAAATTTCTAGATTAATTACCTTTCTAGATAGAAATGTTGAGCATTTTAATGTATATTTTTCCCCTACTGTAATGGAACTTTACAAGCAATATAGCAAAATTAACTTCTCCCTATGATAGGGTTTACAGACAATACAGACAATAAACATATACAAAAATGTTTCTGTACAAGTTAATGCCATGTCTTTTGACTATGTTTTGAGGAGGAAGGGGTTTACAGCTAATGTTCTTCAAGAAAGATATTTTTTTAAACGTTCTACTTTTGTAATTATGATACTGTGTAAATAATCAATAACATAATTTTAATTTCCTCTAACTACAATCTTTAAATATCTTTTTATAGTACATATTTAACTGATGTTTATATATTTCAGGATTTATAATCTTTCTCTGAACAGTAGTATAATGTAATTTTGGTTAAATCATTCTTTATTTTTACAGGAATTTGTTTATTATTTAGTGTAAATAGACTGTAAAAGTGTAAATGTCTAAAATATTATTATTATTATTATTATACATTTATGCTGATGTTGAAATTTATGCTGATCTTGAACCTGTTGTTGACAGGTACTGAGTTTGCAAATACAAGGTTAACATTGGTTGAAAGTTGAAGATGAGGATCTCTCCAGTCGATGTCTTCATAAGTTCATGATTTTGACCATTATTCATTAATCCACTTTTAAAGGAACTTGTTATTCTCCCTCCCCCCAAAAAAAACAACAACAACAAAAAAAATCTAATAGATATGTTAGAATAGTCAAAAACCTTCTGTTCCTTTCCTAGATCTGTGAATTACTTTTCGAAACCCAATGTTGGCTCAATGTAATTTACCACACTGAAATTTGGGGAGAATAATGAGTCCCTTTAAAATGAGTATAAGATGTCTTGTTCTGCCAAGAACAATTTTGGTGCTGGCACCGCTGCTGTTGACTATTCATTTTTCATGTCTTTTTCAGACCATACAAGCCTTGAAACCACAACTAAATGCTTAACTGTTATTAACTGAATTCGAAACTAGAATATCAATACAAAATATCTATATTTCACCTCTTGAATTTCAGTACAACCAGGAGACCACTGCAAAATGCTCATGCGTCGATCATTACTTAAGTCTCAAAAATTGGAAGCCCCTATTAAATACTCAAACACTGTTAACTTTCAAGACTATGAGATCCCCACCAAATTCTATACATCACACTTCATGTTTCTAAGCTTGGAGATCATTAGCAAATACTTGTAAATCAATCATCACTTGAGTTTCAAAACCAAGTATTTAATTATCAAACTATATATATATATATATATATTTATCTCACTTGAGTTTCAAAACTTGTATAGCACTATCAAGTACTCATAATTTACTACTTGAATTTAAAAATTAGGACAACCATTTGATACTTATACTGGAGGTCAATAATCTTCAAAATTAGAAGGTTATTGCTGAATACTTATATATCACTAGGTGAGTCTTAAAATTAAAAGATGATCACACCAACTACTCACACATTATATTTGTTTTTCTAAACTAGAGATTGTTACTCACAGCTTGAGTTTCAAAACTAAGGGCATACAGTTAGTAATCAAACATCATCTGAAGTTCAAAACTGTTATATCATTATCAAGCACCTAGCAATCAGGAAATTGCTAGGTATATTTCAGGCCTCAAGAGATATTTTCAGATATAGGAGCCAGCCCAAAACCTCAGGAGCCAGGTGTGCCTAACCTCACTTCACTACTGTTTCTACTGAGAAGTGGGGGCTACATTAGTACCTCAATTATCTGCATTTTTTCTTTTCCCCATATTTTCTCAAAATAATTGTGCCATTATGATTTTAGACAATAATTTACATGTTTTGGAAAAATTTTCGCTCAGAAATTAATTTTGGTTGCAAAAGTTCAGGTGTTGCACAATACCCGGGGTTTTCGTGTACAGGATCTGGCGTGAGTTTAAATCATAAGTCAGCCGGTTCAAGCCTAGCTTTGCCTCTATTATTTTTAGCTGTTAAAACAGGAATACAAAATAATTGTAGCTTGGTTAACTTTATTTGATTTGTGATTAAAAATGTAGAATACAAAAACATGCAAAACACACATTAAGATTTCTTAAAGATTTCACTCAACTTTAGTTATAGATTTGAGTTCTATTTAGCACAGCCCTATACATGAATGAAATGGGAGAAAATACTATGTACCATGATGAAATTTTTAGTTGCCATGGCGACCTGTCACCTGAGATTTGTTAAGGGCTTTTATACTTATTCATCACTACCTGAGTTTCAAAACTAGATAGTTATTAGACAGTACCTGATAACTGTATCATTAATATTATGTAATTCAAGAAATGCACATCTCTTAAACATTATAAGCTTATCCAACAGCTATGTGATTAATTACATAATTGCAAAGTACAAGTAATGAACAAGGTACTTGATGATCTATTTTGGTTGTAAACCTGCTATTTTTGAAGTTTTTTTCTGAATACTCATTATGTACTATATACAAGTACACTGTCATGAGATAGTTTTTAAAGTATAAGAAACAATGTTTAGTATATTGTAAAAGAACATGTACATACTTCTTTGTCAGATTTGAAAGTATATTACAGATGTCATCATTTCCAAAACTTTTAAGAATCTCAACTGTCTTATCAAACAGCTTAAAGTTAAATATCCAATCAATAGAATAAGTATGTTGGTTTCACTATTCAACAAAAACATTGAGATACTTCTTTTAAGACTTACCCAATTCCAGAAACTCTTGTCAGTAGTTGAATTGCTTTATTTTCATCACTGGCTCGAATCTAAATATAATTAAATATATAAATGCCAACGTTTTTTAGTCATTATTATTATTATTGTTATAGTGAATATTGTTAAACCATGGTGCTACCTTTTAAGCAAGTGCTCCACCTCCCCAAAAAATTAGTGGATTTACTTATTAAGTTCAAACTAATACAATCATGTACACACACACACACACATTTTGTTAAGGATTTTGTATATGCTAATTTCAAAGAATTCTCACATATATGTTCTATATGACTTGTCATGTTTCTTTTATTAGTACTCTCATTATCCTGCTACTGATGCCTTGAATAATGTTTGACAGTTCTTCTTGACCACAATGCTATGTTTTAGCTAGCTAATATATGTCAATAACCAAACTGACTATAGACTCTAAAATTTGAGTAGCCAAAATTCAAAGGATAAAGCCATGCTAGATAAGTTCATCCAGCAGTGGCATCTTTTCCTGATATAAAATACTCTTGTTCTTAGCTATCATGTATGCCTTGCATAAAAAATATACTCAAACTATGGATACATTTTGAGCCATCCGCTTTGGATATACCAGTGTTATTTAAATTAAGAAACTCTGACAATAACTTCTGCATACATAGATTCAACAACTGAAGATCTTTTACTGGTTTGCTTTGATTTACTTATATGATAGCATAATCTCTTTGCAATGACTGGTACAGAATATATCACATGGTATGAACATTTTAAGTTTTATCTTGAAAAACCAATAAACAAAGCAGTTGTCAAGGTCATTGAAGTGCATGTGTGACATCACTGCAGAACTTTGTAACAATATTTTATGCAACACAATGAAAACATGCTGATTCATTCATGCCTAATTTACAAAGAACGTTGGAAATTTGGCCTGCATTCAAAAGAAACTGTACGTTGAAGTTAGACAGGTGTGTACTTTATATGTTTATTGGTATAATAACATAACAATAGGCTGTTATATTTTGAAAAATTAAACAATTTCTAAATTTTGTTAATTCTTAAAATGAGCTCAAATCTTCACTGAAATCTTAAACTTTAAGATTTAAAAGTAGGTTCATGGATGTAGGCTAAGTACACTATATGACAATGCTAATTAACCAGCATTTAGTAAAACTGAAAACAGAAGTGAAGGTAGAATAGAGCAATTATTGAGTGGTTATGAGGGCAACAAATGACCTGTTGCCCCTCATAACCAGTCACTGATTGTTCACTGTAAAGGTATTATATATACTACATATATATAAAGAATGATACAAACATTGTTTAGATATTTTAAATTTTTTCCATGAGCTTGCTTCATTGTAATCAACTAACCACACTTGGTAAATCTAAGAATGGATAATTCATTTGTCACTGGATTTAGTAAGTATTCACATCACTGAACAGCAAGTTTTCTCATGTTGTAGGTGTAGGTACACTGGCAATGGCTACTAAAGAACCCAACTGGAACTCTGAATAGTTTTACATATGCAAGCATAGTTCATGCAAATCATCAGCTTAGTGCTGAATTAGCAAAAAGAGTCACTTCACACAATTAACCATCACTGGTGGTAACCACTAGCTAAAGCTTAGCATATTTTCAACTTCTTGAAATACTAGCCAATAAACACATGGATAGAGCTTATCATTTAGAAATCCTTTGTTCATAGGCAAAAATATGTGGTAAAACTTGTGCTATATGCTATATAATTATACTCACCTGAATTGTACAGAAATACACAAACATTAAACTTAGAATTGAATTTATGTATAAACTTCTTCTTCATTTGTTTTGTGCCACTCCTTCAAGTTTTATCAGTGCTCATTTTAAAATTATGACTTTGGAATACCATTAGTTATCAATCACAACAGTACAGTTAACTGACTTGTTACATTTCTAAGAAAATGTAGCATGAATAAAATGTCAAAGGAATAACAAACAATTCTCCTACATATTTTTGTGTGTATAAAGATTTTACTGTAGATCTGACAAACATCCTCATGTCATCAATTCCATATTTTAAATTTCAGTAAATTGCCAAAGTGTCAATCATGATAGATGTACAATTAATTTTAATTCACTAACTGAACACAATGTCTTGTTCAATATCAGTTCTGTCCAAGTGCCGCATCATTTTACATTAAACAAAACAGTATCTTATGCATAATATTTCTGATGCAATCAATATAATAACTCAGACAGGTATGGTGCTTTTATTCAATGCTATAGAAAAATTGTGAAGCAGAAGTACATGACTGTACCAACACATGGACTCGATTACAACAACCTTTCGGTCAGTTACACCCCACCCTTCAGCCATACATAATTGCTACCAGGTCTAAAGAATGTATCCCAAAGAGTTTGAATATTTTACCACCCTGGTGAAGACCTATATGCCACCTTTTTATGTATAGGGTGTATGTGTGTGCATTTAGAGGCAAAAAAAGCAAGAACTGAAAGTAAACTTTGGATAAAAATTTATATAAGTGGCTTATTATTAGTTGGTATACTTCAACATAAAGAAAGATTTCAGAAGACAACATACCTTACCCTTTCCAAACACACAATAAAAACAACAAAAAATCATGGTCAACAGAACAAATAACCTTCAAAGAAATGAAACATGGATATTATGTCACTATAATTATAAAGTAAAGTTATGTGTACATTTTCTACAAGTGACTTTCACTTGACACCTAAGCATTAGAGGCCAAGTTTGAAAAGATTTATAAAGTAAATAATGTAATTAGGGTCTGACAAAAAAAAATATATATATATATATATATATATATACTTATTTATTTATTATCATTATCATCATATTTAGCTCAAAAAATAAAGTTTTGAAAGCAAAATATTTACTCTGTTTCCTAGAGTTGAGCTCAAAATGGTGAAATGAACACTAAAATCATGTTTCTAAAACTGGTTAGATTCGTGGAAAGGACAGTGAACTCTAAAACTTATGTTACCAAATTCAACACACAATAACAACAATCAAGATGTAACGTAACTAACTTCATACTCAGACTCAACAAGTCAAATTTCAACTAACTTTATGTGTAGGAAAGTTAAAATACATATATAAAAATAACTAATAAAACATAGTAGATGTACAGGGAACACATAGGCTTGATTCCAAAAGTGGCAATGATTTTACATTATGATTCTCAAATGTCACAATTTCAAAATGTCCATCCAGAAACATATCCAATCCAACAAACTTCAAGTAGGATTTCTCTCTTTTGCTAAATGTTATGCAATTATCTCAATGAAAAAAGTTTTAAAAATCAGAAGTGTAATACACAATGAAAGAGCACTCAAGTAACCTACTTAAACTAAGAACATAAAATGTAAAATATTCTTAAGCAAAAAACATATTGCCATCTATACAGCCATACATGCCTTTCTACTTACATTAAAAGATATTTGATGATTCAGGTTACATAGCTGTCATCATTACCTTTCACTGGAACTGTACATATTTTTATAACTACATGCAGTAAAATGCTAGATAATTTTATATTCATGTGTCACCAATTCAATTACCTTCCTACAAGTAGATCAAGTTTTGATGATACTCAGTACTAGTTCAAAATTCAATTAAACCAATTACTGTGGGGCTGAAACCTTAAAGGTAGTTTTACACCAAATGTTTTTGAGAATACTTTAAATTATTCTGTAATGTTCTATCAGTACAAAATAAAAAAACATCATTACATGCAACTAATCAACGTATGCTGTTGTGAAAGAGATGTGTGTAACCCTACATAACCATGTTAGTTTGCATAGAAAATTTCAAAACTTCTTAAAATTTCTCATTATAAGAGTCAAAAAATGAATCCCTAAAGGAAAGGTTATTGCTCCAAACTATATAGTTAATTTTCAGTTTTATATATTCATGATTCTAAGGAACAACTTTCTAAGTAATGGTCTTTTTCATATTATAAAAATGTAGCAGTTCTGTTAAACTTATTCCACAATAATGATATAGGAAATATGTGAATTTCATATGAAATACTTCTAAAGTTTATTGTAATATATCATTAAATAGACAAACAGTCAGTCAAGAAGCTTACCTAAACATTTGTAAAAGATTTTCATAAAATTCTCTGAATACATGTTGAATGAAATAGAAAAGTTTGCACAATATTTCTATAAAACAAACCTTTTCAAGTTTTCCAAGCCTTCCTGTTTCAATAAACTCATCAATTTTTTTGGCTATCTTTTCTCCAACACCACTCTAAATTGAAATATAAAATATTATTATGTTAACTGTTCAAACATTCAAGGTTTTCACACTTGTGCCTTCCAATCACTTTTAGATTTTGGCTATATTTTATCTTTCTTATTAGCAATTGTACAATCCATAATAATAATTTGCAAAAACTTTCCACTGTGCTTTTATTTATCTTTATTGTTTAATGGTTTTAAAAATTATATTACTATTCTTATATTCAGGGTACCAATATGAAAGTACTTTCCTTATAAAAGAATAACAAGTACTAGATTTTCTAAATTGCACAATTCTTTATTTGCTGACTAGCTCTTAAATCTTCATTGGCAAATATATGGAAATATCACTCCATTTATCTTACCATATGCTAACTATTGAAAATTTTTTCTGACTTTTGAGAGGTATAGTAACAAAGACAGTCAACTTTAAGATGTTAACATAAAGCTTAAGCTGTTGTGAATTCATTGGGTTTCCAACTTGATTTCAGACGTGACTTCTGAAACTGACATGTATTGAATATCTGTATAAGTCAACCCTTGCAGATTTTTTGCTTTTTCAGAACAACAAGGAAAAAACAGAAATCAAAGCACTACTAATAAAGGTTCTTCCTTCATCACCCTTAAAAACAAAAACTTTCACAAGTGCTCAAGTTTCAAGGATCTTGTCTGTATAATCATAGTCTTAGTGCTAATACCAATTCTCTAGTTCTCAAGTGTTTGAAAGAAATTTAAGTTTAAAACCTTTTTTAATTAAATGCAAAGTAATTTCTTTTCAGCTATATAAATACTTTCACTTATGCTTTCACTGTTTAATAGATTTCAAATAAAGGCTAAGCTAGGCATAACTCATTTTCCTTCTTTAAGTCACCTAGTTCTACCATCGCTTGACAAAGGTATATAAACTAGTTGTACCAGAGCCATTATGTACAGTTTTTTTATAAGCAAGTATAACCTAGTGATACTACATTCTTCATTGTATGTAAAGGATCTTAATAAAAGAGTGTAACTTAGTTGTACCAGAGCCATCATTGATAAATGTTTATCAACAAAGTACTGAAAAAACTAAAGGTTTATTTTTCTTTTCTGGAGTAATAAAGATCATCCTTTATATTTAAAAATTTGAGATAACAATATATATATAACAAATTATTACTTTCCTTTTTTCTCTAACTCTTTCTTCTAACAAGTTGTTGGTTACGTACATTAATTTCCCAGAATAAAATCACTTCACTATTCTTCAGTAACACATCTGCATTGATCACTTATGACTATAGTGTTCACTAGCTTGTTTATTTACTTATGCTTTACAAACTAACTAAATTATGTACAGATTGGCTATCTTCACACAAGTAACTTAACTTTACAGATATCCTTCTGAAAGGAAAACAGAAAAAAAACAAAAGCTAAACATATTTTACATTTCATTAATACTTGAAACCCGATGTGTAGCAAATGTTATGTTCCATCAGATATATATAAACAAATATTCTGGGTAACACCTTTAAACAACTGCATAGAAACAACCATAGCCTATCATACATATTCTATTAACTTTAGGGACTCTTTCTTATGGATTTAAGACAATTTTGATTTTCTAATCAAGAAATTGCTTTTGAATTAAATATTTGAAAACTATAATTAAAATTACTGAAAGATGATTACTGACTTATATACAAAAACCATATGTTCACAATAATTACTTTTGTGATAGGGGATATCTTACATTTAACAGACATTAGAGCTAAATACATGTTAATTTAAATGAATGGCTCTTTGTTGAAAATAAAAAAATATACACACACAAACAGAATTACATATGGAAAAGCTTCAGTACTTAAGATTCTTTTATCAAAAAAGTAACACACTATTCCCTTCATTTATGTAGGTTAATGTTAACAAAATATTTGTATGTTTTTTTCCCCATTTCTGGAAGAAACTGTAAAGTGATTTAGTCAAATAGCTTATGAATTAGCAATATCTGGTCAATAAGAAAGGAGATCAATCACAACATAAAGTCTGAAATTAGTTTTGTCTATTTCCATCATATAACCTCTGAATAAGAATTTTTATGTTTTAACTTTATTTAAAACATACCAGCTTCTTTGCTTCTGTTCCATTACTAATTGGAGTAGGATGCTGGCCAATAACACCTGCTGCTTTCCGATAAGCATTATATTTGTGAATATTTCGACTGACATTTTTCTCATAATCTGCAAGCTCTAAAATATAAGAACTAAAAATTAAAAGTGCACAAAATTTGATAACATATGCTATAAAAACTATCTTAATCATATTAAAATATGATTTAACACAAAATTAAAATTCAATTACAATGGCGCAGAACCTTTTATTTTATAAATATTTAATTCTTAAGATATTATGAATCATATTTACAAGAACATTTACCTGAATTCTTATATACAGCACTGCCCTCTTACCTGATTTTAAAATGCATTCTGTCATTTATTCATTCATATTATTTTAGCAAGTAGCATATGTAAACATGTTATAATGGTGCTCCTTAGATTGCTAAAATTCTAAATACTCTTACATTTTGCCTCAAAATTTATCTCTTACATTTTGGTTATAATGTTATTATCATGGCAGAACTTCATGTCCTCCCTTTCCATTGCGAGTTTACATGAACAGTTATGTGACTTAATGTTGTGGATATGCGATTCCTTTAGACTAAGACATATTATTTGAAATGAGGTTAAATGAGTTTGACATACTCAAATGTACTTGAAGAGGAAAGGAAGAAGGGTTGATGTTAATGTTTAGGTGTCGAACCATGCTCTTCTTACAAAGTTAGACAACTGTACAGTAGGTGTAAAATGTCTTAAATATTAGTCATGTCTGTCATATCCCTTCATTTATATGTTGAGTTACCCCTCTAACAGTGTCTTTCTTCAATGATCATTTCTCTCATTTAACAATATCAAAGGTGCATAAATGTATTTAGTTTGATTATTCAATTAATTAACAGAAGTTAAAGTTGAAATTTTAACTTTAAGAAAATATTATTCATCATGCTCTAGGTGTTACAACAGCTTGTTCTTATTATTAGTATCGATAGTAGAACTGTTTTGTAACATCCTTTGTCAATTAGGAGATTACCAAATGTCAAAAAGGATTCCTGTCTTTACCGAGCTTCTTAATAATAAAAACACGGAAAGTGCTGACTCTTAGTTTTAGCCTATGACTGATGTAGTGTACACATATTTCAGAAAAATATATAGTAAATTTATTACAAATAAAATAATGTGGATCTTTATCTGCCATTCATGTAATACCCAAAAGAAAAGGGTTACTACTATAGGGTTGGTAATTTAATATGGAAGTGAAGTGCATCACACAGTGAAGTATTTCATTTATTTGCATCACTAAAGCACAAAAAATACACTTAAACATTTTTTTAAATATCAATAAACTTTACCTAATATGTGTCATGGTACTGTTTGCTGATAACAATCAGTCCTACTAAACACTGAAATACCCTCAAAATATCCCCAGAATACATGTTAAAAAGCAAATGTATACCCAATCATTGGTCACAGAATAAACAATGCTCTATGATCTTTGTGGGAGATTTCAAAATGATCCAATATAACAGGTTGTTCAACCATTTTAAAGTCTTAACATTTCAAGATTTTTCACACTAAGTATTTCATCATATTCATGGACTCAAGTTGCAAGTAAGGTGAGGAAATTATATGTATATCACAACATTATTTATGTTGAATGTAATCATAAAGGACAAGATAATGAGTTGTATTAAAGGGTATCTTGTTGTGGTTGGATCACCATATGGTTTATTGTGCTAGAGTCTAATATTCCATACATGTTCATTAATTGGATTTTTAAAAACCTGAAAAGACCACAATGAATGAAACACTTTGCAGAGAAAATGTTAATTTATGAAGGCTTATGTCAGTGGAATCACATTGTTCCCATAAAATATTAAACTGTTCCTATTTACCTTTGCAAAAGTCATTTCCAACTGCTTGACAGGCACATGGGGTTGTGTGGTGCCAAAATTGATGACAAGATTCTCTAAGTTCTGGTAGCTGAACATATCATTTGTTAAAAGAAGATTTTATTGTCAAGTGATAACAACTTTTAATATAACTTTAATGTTTATACCATCAATTTTAGGAATTTGTTGAGCATATTTTCTCTGATATATTACATTTGGAAATGATATATTTTGTGGTAAATTATTATTTTTTATTCCAAAATATCTGTAAAAAATTAGTTTCTCTGAAACTGTTGTTGCTACTTCAGCAAAAAAAAATTAATATGCAAATATAAAATACCAGCATACACTATGAAATTGTTTCAGGAATTTATATATAATGTAAATCCCCAGAGTGAAAAGGTTAATTGAACATACTTGGAAAAAGTAACATAGTGTATGCTGGCTTTAACCCTTCATTCCACCAGTATCATGTGAATTATGCATCCAGACCTTCAATAATTCAGTTTGTTTGTGGCCTGTGCATCACAAATTCAGCATACGAGTGGTTCTACTGTTTGAGGTATTGTTGCAGAAGTAATTAAAAACCTTCAGTGATTACTGTCTCTTGAAACATTATTGAAATAAATGTAATAATGCCTGGTCCCCCTCCCTTGCAAGAAACCCTAACTTTAATTACTTCTCTGCATGTTGAACAGAGCCCCGCCATTTTTCTTATGAATGCTCTATTAGAGTGGCTCTGTTTGGGGTGCTAGTAGTCTTATAATCTCATTTGCACATCATTAACCCACATATCAGCTCATTTTGGTCCTAACACTATTTAATACTTCTTGATATTTCTATATTCAATATCAGTATATTCTGTAACTTTTACCAAAATAAATCTTTAATATCTTTTGTCCTCAGAGTTTCTCTGCTGTTGCTAGCTCATGACCTCAGAAGGAGAAATGGAATATTGATTACTTGTTTTCATGGTTCTTAGTTGTTATTATTATTATTATAGGTTGGATGCTGCCAAGCCATAAGATGACTGACTGGTCTGAAATAAAAAAGAAATTGAAGTGTTCAACAAAGAAGGAGAGACTTTTACTAAGGACATTAAGTGTGAAGATCGTTTCTTGTGCTAGTGTCACATATGATCCATAAAAAAAGGTTGCAACTGATGAAAGTATCCCACTATGGTATTATTTAGTCCTTCTTCAGTCCCTTAGCCTAAGGTGTACACAGGTGGGTGGCCACTTCCTCTTCAAAGTAATTTCACTAGGGCTTTCGGGACTGGAGGAGTTTAACTCCAACTTTAAGTTGGCAATGGCTCTAGAGGTAATTTAACATCAACATACTTATGATTGCTCAAGTAATTTACTTGTGACAGATGAACAGGTGGTACTTTTCCCATACCTCCAATGGTTATAAAAGGTGTGTAAAATTGGGTAGAAGCATATATGTGGGATATCTACAGATGGGTTTTGATAGTGCATATACAACACCAGAAGTCACCATCATGTAGACTTAATTTGTACCTCTTGAGAAACCATCAAACTTCAAAGCAAATTACTCTGTTCTTCTGTGTTATAGGAAATCTGTGATGAGAACACTGGTCAAATGTCTAAATCTCTACAACTATGAAGCTACTTTTAGTGCCATGATGGATGTAAATTATAATAGCAATATGAAGTCAGAAGTAGTTCCACAGACAGAGGCTGATGCCAATCTATACCTGGATAGCAGTGCAGGATCAGATGTATGCCTACAATCATAAGATGAGGCCAACAAGAGTCTTAGAAGCAATGCAAGGTCAGAGGTGTATACAGGGCATCAAAGAGATAATGAAAACACACGTAAAATAGCAGTTAGTGATACTACAATAACAAGTAGGAAATTCATGGAAATAGAGAAATTCATCAATGTCTTAAAAAAGAAAAACATTGTCAGTAGTACCTTTGGGTGTGAAAGAACATATGCTCTTTTTTGTGGAAATACTAGAAACCTAGGATACAGATATGCTGATAAATTCAGTAAATTTGTTGATGAATGTGGTGCTTGGCAGTTGAGCAACACTAGTCCACATTCCATTCTATGGAAAATAGAATCACTATAGATTCTTCAGATGGTGAAACTGAACAGTCAATACTGTTTGATGGGCCATATGCAAGAGGAAAAGAACACCAGTTCTAATCCCCAAACAATTGTAAGGAATATCATGCATGTCAGTTGGCACAATATAACCCTGAAGGTATCCCCAGACTATAATAAAAAATATATATATATGTGCAATATGGATCAGCAACACAGATAAGTCAATCAGTGCACTTGCCTACATTAATTACATTGGAAATTAGAAATACAGACAATAATACATTTCTTGGTGCTTCACAGGTGCTTTGTACCTGCCATATGAAAAATAATCTCAAAGCCTACCAAACTGATAAGAGAGGCATATCAAATCACAAAAGAAAATAATTACAGCACACATGTTTGGAGAAGATGGTTTAAAAGTGGCACAGGAAGAAACTGGGGTCCATGTACAAACATTTGTAGATGCTAAGTGGCAGTAGAGTGCAATTTTGGAGAAGTCTGAGGCCTAATTCACCAATAAAATTATTCTTTTAGTTGAAGCTAACAATACAGAACAGCAAAAGTTTCCTGTTCTTGATATTGGGCTATAGAAAAACAACAACAATGAAAAGGCAAATACCTAGTTGAAACTTGTCATTCATTGGAAACCACAGTCACTAATGAAGCTGATTCTAAAGTTACAAGGCTGCACACGTGCCCAGTAAAAAAACATGGAATTCAATGTGTTGGTAATTGGTAACTTTTTTCTATGTGATAGATATGCTATGTTCCAGAAGACAATATATATATATATGACTTGATCCCCAAACAGCACAAATGTTATCTGTGGCATTTTTATAGACAATCATGCGAGTACATCCCAAAATTGTGATATCTTCTGATAAAGATATGAGCATTCTATCATCAGCAAATTCTTGCAAAAAAGTCACACCTTCCACTATAATGTTTCTATGAAAATACAGTTGATCACTAAATTATATGATATAATTTTCTCCTTTTCTGCACAAATATTCTTAATTGTGTTGATGTTAAAATCAAACAAATAAGGGTGTACTGGATCTTCCCATTTTATTCATTTTATGATTTTAAACATTCAAATAATTTCTTCTGGTAGAATTAAGCATGGTTAGACTACTACAGAAACACCTGTAGAATAAAAATTTAAAC